CTCTCTCCCTCTCCCTCTCCCTCTCTCTCTCTCTCTCTTTTTCTCTCTCTCTCTTTCTCTCTCTCTTTCTTTCTCTCTCTAAAACGCATGCAGTTGATATGATGACGCGGCAAGTACGGAACTTTCAGAATGTACGGATTTCCGCAAAAACGAAGAAGAACGGAAGCACTGCAGAATGGGTTTTTTTTCTTCTTTCGGAACCCATCGCAAATCCGGTAGTTTTGACACCTTATCTGTATGGCGGTAGAACAGGCCCAAAATCGGTATCTACCAGAAAAATCGGTAGATTTAGGCAGCCCTGTATTGAGTCAAAAAATGAAAATTCTTTAAAAATTCACAAACATGTAGTACTTTACTTTTCCGATCCAGCGGCCATTTATTTAGGTTCTAGCCCTTCGGTCTGTCGATATGGCAAAGAATTTAAAACATGCAGTAAAAATGCCAGTTTCTTCACTTTGATTATTTTGACGAGCGCCTGACTTCACCACGCTGCCTCACATATTCCTATAAGTTGTCTAGTATGCCATCTTTTCAGCCTGTTCTGATATACTTCAGGCTTGAGATCTCAAGATACAGTGTTTAGCGTTGTCCTTTCGTACCCTTAGCCATCAGTGTGAAGGAACTGTACCGTCTGTTGTCTTCTCTCAGTTAGGGTAGAGAGAAGCAATAAAGCTCACAGGTTAGGACACAAAAATGGCCACTTAGTGCAAAGAACAAAATAAGATTGACAGAAACAACAGAAGGATATCAAAAGTAGAAGTACCCACCAGTGGCACCCTCCAATCATAAACTTGTCATTATCTAAGATATGGGTGTAAAAACATGTTTTTTTAAACAATTGTCTCACCTTCTCCTCTGTCTTTACCAGTTCTGGGAACGCTCCACCCTACAGAAGAAAAAAAATGATAAAAGAAACCAGAAGTTATTTAGATCATTATCACCATCATCATCGTTACAAAAAAAGAAAATAGATTAAGAATGAAGAGTCTTAGAAAAACTTTTGGTCAGTATTAATCGAAATCGTATGAATACACTGTAATAGAATTCTGGTACAAAAACAGCTTCACATTTCACCTCATCATGATCAACATTTTCATCGTCTAGGTCCAAACACAAACATGACTCTGACTTTGCCTTGTATCAGCTTCTCTTGAGCCAGAGATAACATTTTCAAGCAAGAATGAAATGCTTTATTACTTTTTTAGTTTAAGTAAGAGTTTTAGGGCACTTACAACACGATAAGGTCATATAAATTTTAATGCAGAAGATTAGAGGTGTTACAAGAGAGTAACAAACACAAAAAAGAAGGAGGAGAGATCAGGACGATAGATATTTGGTGAGGAAAGAAGGAGCAAACCAAACCAGAGCACCCACCAACCACCCACATTACTTTTTAATGCTTTCAATAAAAAGATTCCTGTCACTGACATTGTTTGAAATATTTCAGCTAACCCAGGCTTTTTTTGTCGTTGTTGAAATTTCCCAGTTCTGAACATGATTAAGTGCAAGAGTAAAAGTATGTGTGTGTGCATGCGTGTGTGCGAGTGTGTGTGTGAGTGTGTGTGTGTGTGCTAAAGACGGGCGGGAAGCGGTTTTTCCTTCCCGAGCGAGAAGACCGAGTAGCTGACCTATTTCTCGCCGACACCGGTCCCGGGAACGAGAAATACTACCCCTCTCATGTCTCGAGTCTCGAGCAATGCTTCTCGTCTCGTGACCAATTTCTCTTCTCGCCCCGCAGTTCGAGCCGCTCGTTCAGCGAGAAGGCCGGCCGTGGTCGAGATTTCTCTTCTCGCCCCACAGAACGAGCAACCCGTTTAGCGGGAAGGCCGGTCGTTGCGGGGATCTAAACTTAGAAACTAGGCTTTCCCTGGTGCGCAGGCGGTGAAGGAAGGTAGGCTAGGGAGACGACCTAGGCCTAGGCCCTGATCAACTCCCCACTCGCCTCGTCTCGCCAGCCTCTCCCCTCCCTTTCAGTTTCACACACAGGACGGCATGGTGATGGGTGGCACTGTCTGCGTTGTCATTTCTCGCCTCTCACTCTCTCACTCTCATTACTGTTACTCGTTATGTCAAGCCAACAAGCAAGTATCACGTCTCGGTACCAAGCAGAAGTTTAGTGCCGGGGAAGTGATGGGAAGGCCATTTCCCGCGAGAAACGAGACTCGGTTCGTCTCGTGCCTGCCCCTAGCGTGTGCGTGTTGAGTGTGTATGTTTGTTTCTGTGAGAGAGAGAGAGAGAGAGAGAGAGAGAGAGAGAGAGAGAGAGAGAGAGAGAGAGAGAGAGAGAAAAAGAGAGAGAGAGAGAGAGAGAGAGAGAGAGAGAGAGAGAGAGAGAACGAAATAGAGGTGTTAAAGACACAAAACACTCACAAAAACACAAACCCATGACATTCAAATACACTCTCCGCTCATAGATCTTTCCACTCACCAGAGTTTCCACAACCTTTGACACCAGCCGAGGCAGCAGGACTCTGGGCTCTGTGTGAAACTGTCCCTGGCACAGTCTGATACACCGGTGGACGATGCCTCTCAGCTTGTGGCTGGGGAAAATGAAGCAGTAACAGCTTTATATTGGGTGTTATTGTGGAGAAAATGGAAGCAGTAACGGCTTTATACTGTGTGTTTGAGGAAAATTGGAAGCAGGAACAGCTTTATACTGTGTGTTTGAGGAAAATTGGAAGCAGGAACGGCATTATACTGTGTGTTTGAGGAAAATTGAAAACAGTAACAGCTTTATGGTGAGTCTGTGGAGAAAATGGAAATAGTAACAGCTTTATATTGGGTGTGTTTAGGGAGAAATTGGAAGCAGTAACAGCTTTATACAGTGAGCGTTTGGGGAAAATTGAAAACAGTAACAGCTTTATACTGTGTGCGTTTGGGGAAAATTGAAAACAGTAACAGCTTTATACTGCGTGTGTTTGTGGAGAAATTGAAAACAGTAACAGCTTTATATTTGGTGTTATTGTGGAGAAATTGAAAGCAGCTGCTTTATGCTGGGCCTGTTTTAATGAAACAATTTGAAGTTTAAGATTGCTCGTGAAAAAGTTAAGCTCTATATGACCTGCATTTATTTGTCGGTTGCAGCAAAGTCTCCTCAGTGTAAGGTTGTCTGTAAAAATATTTAGCTTTATACTGAACTAGCTGGGCAACCGTTCGATGAACGGACCCCCCCACCAGGGCAGTGCTACTGACTGACTGAAGTTGTCTTGAGGCCATTCCAAAAGCGGGGATATTAACATGTTCTTATGCACAGTAGAATTGTAAATATGCTGATTTATCGATGTCATGCTCATACTGTGTCCGAAAAACAGGGGAAAACTGCTGCTTTTTCTTTCCTCATCCTTACTATCATCATTTTCCTCTACTTCTTTTGTATGTTTGTCACTCTCTCGAGAACTGATATTTCCGGGAAGCCTTGATAGTTGAAGCAGACTTTGTGTTGTTGAGGCAAGAGAGGTGAACTGAGTAAGTCTGATTCCCCGTTTGGACTTCTCTGTTGACATCCACCACTTGGTGCTCATTTGACCTTATGCAGTTGCAAGCGCCGTAAAACCTTACAAAAACAAACAGACAAATGGACTCAAAAGAATCGTGTGGAACCAGTGCGCACCGCTTGTGAACGGAAGCCTCACTTGTTTACATCAGCGTCTTAGAGGACAGACTTTCCCATGATTAGATCTAAACGAAACTAATGAAAAACTGAAAATTAAACTACAGTGACTTTAGACTCCTTAATATAACTGTGCACCCTTTTAATAATTCTGAACCACCTTTAATTTTTTCAACTTCGAAAGTTAAGTGGTTCTGAAGTTTTAGGCGACCAAAGTGATGAACTTTCACTAATATAATATATAAAGAAGGGTGTATTTGCTTGGCAGTTGTAGTAACCATTCTTTAGTGTAAAATTGTTTGTAAAAAAAGTAGCTTTATACGGAATGAGTGTATCAAAGAAAAATTGTTTGGGAGTTGTGGCAAATATCCTTCAATGTCAGATTGTATGAAATCAAAGTGTAGCTTTTGGGAGACTCACATGAGCAGAAAGTCGCATATTATGTTGGGTCCTTATGAATACAGCTTTTAAGTTTTACATATTTTTCAAGTAAAACCCCAGCTAATGGTATGCCCAAACCACAGAGCACATATAAAACAGTTCACAAAATCCATTTTTCGCAGAATCACATCATTCAGGAGTTGTTAAGAGAAGTCAAAAGGAGACAAATCTTTTGAGAGATGTTTACGATAACGCTTATGAATAATCAAAGACCCCCCACACACACACAAGTGCCACCCATCAAGCACCCACAACTCACCCCAGGTCTTGACCACTGGGCAGTAGACCATCACTGATGGAAACTGTGATCATCCGAGCGTGATCAGCTAATGTCCTATATGCCACATCCAGATCACTAGCGCTAGACTGGTACTCCACACAACTGCAAGTCTGAAACAGAGAGTTTGTTTTAGTAAGTGTTTTACAGCACTTGCAACACAATAAGGTCAAATAAGTGCCGAAGATTAGAGGTGTTACAAGAGAGTAACAAACACATAAAAGGAGGACAGATAAGGAGGACAGATGTTTGATAGGAAAGAAGCAGCAAACCACACCAGAGAGAGTGTGTTTGCTTGTTTGAGTAAAGAGGAGCATGTCGACAGAGTAATGGTCATTAAGTGCAAAGAAAATTTAAGGGGGACAGAAAGGAAAAAATAAAACAGAGGGAAAGAGAGTATAGCAAATGATGGAATAATAAATATCATGCTATTGTAAATGTTTTACGTCACTGTCAAAACAATTCAGGTCATCCAGATTACTACTGCTTGACTGACACACAGCATAACCACAAGTAAGTGTATTTAGAAAGAAAGTTGTGGGTTTTAGTTCAAGGCCAGTCTAGTAAATTTACTGGAAACACTAAGAATGTCATTTTGCATAGTAAGATACGAAGTATGGCAGTCCTGGGTTCACTTTAGTCATTAAATAAAAGTATGCTTATAGGAGAGCTGAGGACGCAGAGGAGTGAAAGAAACTGGTTGCAAAATCTGCAGTGGTGCCCCTATGGTCAACCAGACTATGGGATAGGTGAAGGTGCATATGTTTATTATTGAACCAAACAAAAACCAACAAACAATGAGATCAAGAAAAGACGATGGCAGGGGATTGGGCACACTCATAGAAAAACTAGCCCACAAAGTGAAAAGGCAAAGCCTAAGATGGAATGCCTAAGGGAGGAGGAAGAAAGAAAGACCGACATCAGTCTTCTGAGACCAAGATCTGGAGGCAGATCTCAGACAGATGGGGTACAACACTGCCATCTTAAGACAAAAAAAGTATATGCGTAATTAGGTCAAGTAGAAAACCCTTTTCATGGCGTGTCTTTCTATCTTGGTTTGTCATCATTATCATATCCTTTTTCACCCTGGATCAGGATATAGGCCACGAACAAATCTACTTTCTACCTTTCCCTATCCTGGGCGAGTTGCTTGATGTTACTCCATGTCTTCCCACTTTTCTGCACATCCATGTCTGTGATTCTTCTCCAGGTTCCACATGGTCTTCTCCTTGATCTTTTACCCTGTGGGTTCCAATCTAACACTTTCCTTGCTTTGCAGCTGCTTGACTTCTTGAAAGATCTTGGTTTTTATGGATGTACAATTGAAGTTTAGGAAGTTTTAGGCTTTGGAAAATATACGTTGTGACCTAATAACATATCCATATTGTTACGACAAAAGAAATTTTAATAAATTACTCCATAGCTATTTACTGTATACCTCAGCAAATCAGACAAAAGTTAGACCGGCCAATGAATATTGACATAAAATTATCTGATCGACTAAATTTTGGTTAATTTGAAACACGCACAAAAGTTGTGTTTTTTTGTCTTTGTCTCTCATGTAAAATTTATTTTTTGGCTTATACGTTTTTCTGTCATAAGACGGCAGAACTGGCTGGAAGTAGAGAGGGTTGTTCAAAGCAGAGACAGGCAAAGAGCCCTTTTGGGCTAAGAAAAAGTTTTATATGTTCATTTTCTGTGATATTAGCTTTGTTTGATTAGCTAAACAACATTTAAAGAAAACAAGCAGGTCGGAAGACAGACTGACAATATGGATGACTTCAAAGGGAGGCTGAAACATTGGCCCTTTGGATGACTTCAAAGAGAGGCTGAAATATAAACCTTTGTGATGAGTTGTAAGAGAGACTAGGACACTGACCTTTCTTAATGACTTCAAAGAGAGGCTGGAACATCAGCATTTTGGATGACTTCAACGTGAGGCTGATATACTGACCTTTCTTAATGACTTCAAAGAGAGGCTGGAACATCGGCATTTTGGATGACTTCAACGTGAGGCTGATATACTGACCTTTCTAATGACTTCAAAGAGAGGCTGGAATAGGTCAGTGTTGTAGTTGTCCCTGGTCCCACACAGGACAGCGGTCATCCTCTCCAGTCCCATACCAGTGTCCACATGGACAGACGGTAACGGTCGTAAGGTATGGTCCTCCTGTCTGATGGATGGATGAGGGCCTTGTCATGATTTAGAGAAATGTACACACATACACACACACATGCACCAACACACAAATATCCATGGGTGTTCAGACACACACACATACACACACACATATACATACACACACACACAAACACACACATACAAACACACACATATACACACGTGCGTGCACGCACACACATTCACATGCTAATACATGGGCATAAACACACACAAACATATATACACACAACACCCGCACACACATACACACACACACACACATACGCACACACACACACACTCACACACACACACTCACACACACTTGTGCACACACACACATGTACATGCACACATACAACATGTGTGTACACACAAACACGCATAAATACACATACATCTCTACACATTTAGGAAGCAAATTAATTCAAAATTCCTGCTTTAAGAGCAACCGAAACTGTATTGAAAATGAACCTCCACCCCCCTACCCTCACCCTTCACTCCCCCTCAATCCCCCACCTGTTGTACTGCATGAAGACGAGGTTCCAGATCTCCACCACCTCAGGATTGTCTGCATTGACCTCTGACCCAACATAGCCTTGACCTCTGTGGTCATAATGGATCTCAGTGCATGGACCACATGGTCCAGTAGGGCCCATCTCCCAAAAGTTGTCCGACACGCCAAATGGCAAAATGTGGTCAGAAGGCACCCTGAAAGATTGCAGCAGAGGTGGGGGGTAGTTAGTTTTATAAATAACATTCAAAGACAGAATTCTTCCAATGAATTAATCATCCAGCTGCAGAGCATAATATCATCACTGTGGAAAGAAAAAGGAGTCCTGCATCAGTGCCTTGTATCAACAAAGAGGAAATAACCGAGTAATTAAGTCACAGTCTGTACTCTAATTTTTTTAAATATCAGTTACGTCCATTTGCTGATAAGTGGTTTAAAAAATTAACATAGAAAGAGCTGAAAGTACCCACCCTTAAATAAATGCAATCCGCATCCTATTGTCTTCCTGAAAAAAATATACATCTCACTACACTGTCAGTGAGAAAAAAATGCAATATCTGCTAAACACTCAGAGAAGTAAGCCTTTTGTTTAATTTGGCGAGAAGCACATTGACAAAATTATATCATTTCACATAGGAAAAAAAATTGAAGTAAAAGAGACAGATTCTGATACAAAAGATGGGCGGCAGAGAAGTAAGACTCTATCGCCCTCCAGCCATTGCTAAAAAGGCACCACAAACCCATTAAGAACAAAGGCAAAAGCAACCAGCCTTATGAATAAATTCATAAACCTGAGAAACCTGACAACATTGTCACGGCTAAGAAGGCCTATGTTGCAATCTATCAACAGCAGCTCCCTCAGAGAGGAACTCCCTCCCACTGCATAATTTAAGAATGGTCCCCTTCTTTGACTGCATTTCAACCTGGTCTAAGAATACATTTATTTGAATCCAATAGTAGTAACTAGTTTGACGCTTCCAACAACAAGTGTGATCAGTAGCCGTAAGTGTTTATCTTATTGTGTATGTGTTCTTTGTCTGATTACAGGTGTACATGGATTTGAAAGAATTGTTGTACACTGAATGGGCTAGTATGCATGAAAGGTTGATTTAAATCTCATGTTATTCTGAAGTGCCAGGAGCCTCTAGTAAGTGGGCATTACAGAAGTGATGTTTATTATAGCTATTATCATTATTAATACTATTATAATTATTAGCAGTATTATTAGCATTATTATTATCTTTCTTACTATTATTATTATTATCATATTATTGTCATTATTATTATTATTATCTAGGAAATTAGCACCATTTCATCAAGAAAAACACCAAGAACAAAGACAAAAACAACGAACCCCAAAGACATCCAGATGTCTCTGACTTCAAGGTCAGCTTCAAGCCCATGATCTCGATCCCCGGCAAAGTACGTGAAGTACAGCCTGTCTAACGGAAGCTTGTACCTGTCTGTCAACAGATGATGCGCCATCTTGCATGCCTCTACCTGTCAACATAAGAACAAAAACATCCGTCTTGCAGAAAGAGTACATAATAAGACTTATTTAGACACACACTTTTACTCTCACTTACTACTTTTCTCCTTAGCTATCTAAAATGATTTAAAAGGCGTTCAAGACGACACAATCACACACTTACACACACACACACACACACACACACACACACACACACACACACACACACAAACAAACACACACACACATTCATGCAAACAAATAAATATCCAGTACATATAAAGGGGAACCCTAATCACTTGACAAAATCAATTTTATCACACACACAAAATTACATCCACGCACACATGCAAACACACACATAAAGAACCACGTTTTGCTGCAAAAACTTACCTTAAAGTAGTCACCAAAAGACCAGTTACCGAGCATCTCAAAGAACGTATGGTGAGTAAGGTCGTTCCCGACATCTTCAAGGTCATTGTGCTTCCCTCCAACTCTGATACACTTTTGACTGTTTACAGCACGCGTCACTGGAGGTGACCATCGAGACGGCTCTATTTCTCCCAGGAACAGTGGCTTGAACTGTAGACAGCAACAGGAGTCAGACAAAAGAACAAAAATGTTATGTGGTAGAAAAATGTTGAACTTTGAGGTAAACAAGAAAGCAAATTTTCATTCCAAAAAAGAAATAATCAAAATGAGAAGTTATAATTTTTACTCAGTTCTGTGTGTTGCAATACATTTTTAAGGTTAAAATACGCACGCGCACATACACACACACACACATATACATATATACACACTTACTCTCAAACATAGGACAGTGGTCATTCTGTCCAGCCCAATGTTACTTCTACTCTTCCTCAAGAAACACTCATAAAAAGTTAAACTTTTACACTACATATTATAAGTAACAAAGATTCCTCTTGCTGTTCAAGTGCAATTATATCAGCCCAGCTTCCTTCTCCTCCAAACCTTCTACTCTGTCAGCTCTATGGATTCGTAAGTCTAAATCTGCTACAGAGAAGACACATCTGAGGGGAGTGTGAGACACTACCAGCCAACATTATAGATTATAACTTATAGACTTAGTGAAATAGTTAAGTATAAACCATCCCCCCTCCCCCCCCACCCCATTCCCACACATCTCTTCCTGCAGCATGAGGATCACAGTGTGCTATCTCTAAGACAAATTGTCTTTTGTCTTACAGCAACCCCACCATGACCCTTATAGTGACCCTGAATGTTGTGCATCAGGTCAAGTAGTTAGAAATGGGGGGGAGGGGGGGGGCTATACTTTACTTTTACAAACTTTGCTATAATGTTCATTACTTGATTCATTCCAGCATTAGTGAAGTACGTGCCAGCTCCTTTCTTGGGCAGGACGGAAGAAGAGGGCACAAACTGGTGACCCTCATTTTGGAAAAACTCGATAAATGTCGACCTGACATCTTGAGACTGCCACGAGCTCGCCGCGACTGCAGGAATTTTCAGGCACCTTGATCTGTGACAAGACGACATTGCAATATCAACTCTGAATTATGATATATGAAGAAAATGGTAAAACTGCACGCCTCGGTTGTGAAAAAAGTGCAGACATGTGACTTTATTGACATTAGATCTAGATGTAGCCTACCAAACAATTGACCAGACAAAATTCTTGTACACAGAGACCTGCCACTCTATGCAATCTCAAAATCAGGGTCTCAGGGGGGAAAAAATTGGAATTTGGTGAAAAAAATTCGGGATCAGCGGAAATCACCAAGGTGACAGCCAAACTGACCTAAACATTTTCCACGGGTGTCCATAAATATACATGCCCTCTGCGTATATTTGTCAGTGTGAGTGTGTGTGTGTGTGTGTTTTATCATTATTCTTTTTTAAACCCTGAAGCATCACGTCAAGCACTTCTAATCCACGAGTCCAGCACCCCCCCAACCAATAAATCCCGAAAGACACTTCAACCAGTGTGCATAAACGGACGGTCCCCGACACGCGTGGAACTCACACGACGAAGTCATGTAACGTGATGCGAATGCGCGATTGCATTGAAAGTTTTACTGGCGGATCCATCTAACTGCCCGTTCACACCAAACATTCAGACGAGCGACAATGGCCAGCCGACCAAATATACCGGTAATAACCTGAGAGAAGAAGACAGACAGTAAGCTTTCAGAAAATCTGGCGCAACAGACTAGAACAAAAAATCAGGATACACGTGATCGAAATCGGGAAAATCGGGATGCTTATATTTGGGGGAAAAAAATTGAGTCTGTACACAAGAATGATTGGTTGCAATTGCTTTCATCTAAAACTTTGGGAGATTTTGCTCTTGATACAGTCTCTCATCACCCACACGAAGTGCCTGTACCCAAAACATAAAGTATAACTACAGTGTTGACAGTAGTCTCTGCATAATATATACGAGTATAATGCACGCCATACAAAGGCACACTCAGCTCAAACTAATGCTTTCGCCACATATGACAGGTTATTTCATCATTTAGATGTGTACAAACGCACTGTCACTTTTTCTAAACGCACACTTCGATCCACGAAACACGCTGACAGGTAAAGCTTGACAAAGGGTAATTTTTTGCTACAACCTACACAGCTTGCATTTTTTTTATAAGACAAGCCTAGACCAGGTATTTAGAATTTAGTGAGACTGCCCCTCACACAGAACAAAGTACAAAGCGAGTGATTGACAGCATTGGAACACTCAATTTTCTACGGACACATTGTCTTAGACTAGGTGAGCGATATGTTTGGGAGATGGGCGAAATGTCTTTTGATTGGTCACTCAAAAATCTTTTTTGAAAGAAGGTTTCTCACAGGTGTTTCGGTGAGTGGTAGGTCTGATGTTTAGTTAAGCCTATGATGCACAACACGAGTGAAAGAACACTAGCTAGGTGTATAAGATTAAAGATTAGTCAAGAGATCAACTTTTATCATGTAGGCCTACTTGTTCAAAAGTTTTTCAGAATGTCTGATGTCATTCATCCATTTATGGAGCTACAATAGACGACAGGCAGTCGGGAGTGGTCGCTTGGAAAGTTGCTCAGAAATTCGCAAGGCAAAGTGCTTTTCCCTACATATATTAGATATAACTATCACCAACAGTTTCCTCTAACGATGATCTATCGAAGTGGCTAGCTGTACTTACTTAAGTACGGCTAGACTGAGAGTCTAGTACGGCTAGACTGCCAGTCTAG